GCGTACAGTGCACATACCATACATGTGAAGTTCGCACGCCGCGGACACTATCTGTCTGTTTCCTGCTTGCACAGCTTTGGCAAGCAAGCGCCCCTCTTCCTTTTTTGGGGGCACCTCGGTCCAGACAAGCGCATTAAAAGCATCTTAAAGAAGAGAAAGGTTTTTAAAAAGAAAAAAAAAGAGCAAAGCTTCAAAAGAAACAAGTCGAGACGTAATTTTGAGATGGCAGTAAAACAAGTAATTAAGATGGGAGCGACGCCTATATGACAAAAGACACCGCCTGAGGCTGAGGTGCTCTCCGACCCTTCGGACACGCCCCAGGCGCGCCCTGCCAGAGCAGCGCGGCCGAACCGCAAACCAACTGTCGAAGATGAAGCGTTGCAGAAATTGAGTTATGTTCTGCCGCATTTATTACTCTTGCAATCGGCTCTCCTTGTCTTTTTATTTTTAAACTCCGAAAGTACCATCATCTTTGCACAGCTGTCAAAAAACGTCAAAATATACTTGCCTTTGCGCCATCGTTGTTATGGTACTATATTATCACTGCTATCGCTCAACTCAAAGAGAGATGGAGCAGGAGATCGAGAGGGGGGCTCGGTCTTCCCCCATGCCCAGCAGTACGTACGCCACCCAGTGGCAGACGAGACAACTGCCTGCCTAGTGACAACATTTGTGGGATTTGTGTTCCGATCCACCTGAAAGTAGGTCTCCCGTCTCCCCATTATTTATTTTTTTTGCTGCAAAGGCGGCCCGCACTCCGTGCATCCAAGTCTCCGCGGCACCACGGCCCGCTTCGGTCTGCCTCGGCCCTCCCCACACACTCCGTTCGTTCCTCTTGGCACTCGATCGGTACTGACTTGTGGTTATTGAAGCCCGCCGGCGGGGCCACGAGGTTTGGGCCACATCCAAATCGGGCTGGGATCTGTTTTCCGAACAAGCATGCAGTCATGAGGCATGAGGCTCTGGGTCCCACCATGCGGACCAGGCAGGCCCAGCGCCAGGACCCAGGCTCCACGAGCCACTCCACTTCCTCCTCGCGGGGGGTCCGCGCCGACGCCCGGCGGCCTGGCTCGCGCAGCTCGCGCTGCCCCAGGGGGCGGGGCCGGCGGGGCACGGCGCCCTCCCCTCCCCCTCCAGGGGGCGGGGCCAGGGGCCCCCACCCCCCGCCGCCCGCGCCGGCCAATGAGGAGCCGCGTCCCCACCGCGCACCCCCGGCGAGGCGGGCCGCGGCGGGCCGCCCGGAGGGGAGGCTCAGTGGCCGCCAGGCAGCGCTAGGACACGCGTCGACACAGGTGCGCGCCGAAGCACAGCGGAGCCGAGCCGATCACCGGGACGTTCGATCGTGTCGACACGCGAGTGCCCACCTCAGGATTACCAGCAGTGTGTGACCAGCGAGTAGTGCTCCCGACCTGCGGGACTGTGATTGTGTGCCGTGCACTGTGCACCCCATGGCAGTGTCCACCCTCAACATGGCGCCGTACTTCACAGGATACCCGTTCCAAGGTGAGGATGACGGAGGGTGTCTCTCCACTGCGCAGCCTCGCGAGGACGACCAAGAAGGTGACGATGTCGTACTCTATCGGACACACGACGCGGACTCCTGCGTGCAGCGAGTATGCGTGCGGGGGCTGCCGAGGCGTTGAAGACCGGCCGGCACGCGAGCGGCTGCCGAGGTGGCTGCGGGGGGCGGCCCTATGGGGGCGGCCCTATGGGGGCGGCTGGGCCCTCAGCACGCGCCCCCCGCGGGGCTCCCGGGCCACAAGCACCAGCTGCCCCCGCTGCCTTAGGCCCCACCTGTTGCGTGTGTTCTTTACCACCCCGACGGATGCTGAGGTGGCTCGCGGGGGCGCGGCACCGGACAGGAGCGCGCCGCGACGCACCACCCCGGCCGTGCCACCCCCGGGGGGAGGCGCGCCACCCAACACCACCCCAGGGCAGGGCCAACCCCTCTGGTGGTGACTCACTCCGATGAAATCCGGCCGGGTTTGGAGGGGCAGAGTGTGATGGCTTCTCTATGTCCTATGCGCGCCGTCAAGAATCGTCGATCGTCCCACGTCGTTGTTTTTGTGAAATATAAGGCAACGTCGAATTGGCAAACGTAGTAGTTTGTGTGCCTGTGGTCTAAATACTGGCTTCTTTGACTTTTAGAGTGTTATCTGCACCGTCTTTTTCGTTTCCTGGTATAGTACACTGTACCGAATTCAGGCGTGCGGACGGGTTGCATACTCACACGGGGTGCCACGTTGGGCGACGACGGTAGGCAAGCTCGCCCGCGGTCGCCTTAATCCCGGTGCAGTATAACCGAAGAGAAAGAAAGACACAACAAATCACCGAATCATACACCCTGTATCGATTTTATTTTAGTGATTTGTTTGCAATGCACGTCTGCTTTCACGAGAAGGCGGTGCCGAGCGCAGCAGGGCAAAGGGTGGCTGGGCCACACAGCGCTGCGCACCTGAGCAGCGGTCGCTAATTTCTCGTTAGTCCTAAGCAGCGCGTTAGGCCCGGTGCACAGCCCGCCGGCGGCCCCGGGGAGGCCGAGGCCCCAGCGCGTAATAGATTCCGGTCGCGTCCTTTTTTCGGTCATTACCACCCGAGATGACTCAGTTAATTTGTTTTCCACTCAATTACGCTGATACGCTTTTAAGCCGGCTATAGAAAGCGACGGCTCTGCGCTATAGATTTTATTAATCCGCCAACAGCAGCTGTGCAGGGGCGTCAGCCGAGCATCAGCCGGGCACCAGCCGGGCATCAACCAGGCGTCAGCCGGGCGTTATCCAGCTCGGTAATTAAACGAAGCCATTTTCCTTAAATCGAGGTGATTCGCGGGCCTCCTGGTAGACTTGTGTCAGTCCAGTTGTGACGATGTTGTCACAGTGGTGATCGTGACACGGTTTTCCCTCTTGTCTCTGTTTTCTGACGTTTCTTTCTACCGTCTCCAGCCGCGATAAAAGTCCGCCGCCGCGGCGCTTGGGCGCAAAGTAACAACAGTATTTAGGCCCCTCATCAGTATGCGGGGCGGGGTGCCTGCAGCCTGCAGTGCCACAGCCGCAGTACAAACACTGCGGCCCCCTGGCGGCCCCTAGAGGTCCTGGAGGTGGTCCAGCACGGCAGCCAGGAGGATGACGCGGCACGCCGCGCCCGCCACGCCCCCTTCTGGACGTACACGCACACGCCCCGCAGAGGGACAGACCGCCCCGTCCGGCTGGAACGCCCCCGCGCCGCATGCTGACGCGTTTAGTTTCCAATGTCTTGTAATTATCAAACAAGATATGCCGGAAGTGTGTTTTAACCTCGGTGCTTAACTCTCTTGCTCTCTCTCTCTCCCTATCCGTCTCCCTCTCCCTCTGTCTCACCCTTCCTCTCCCTCTCCGGCCTTGGAAGGGACCTTGCGTGATGGGTAACAACGTGAACAAGGTTTTTGCTGCTGGACACATTTGCACTTCATGCGCACAAACCTAGGTCACTCAGAGAGACATGCCATCTATAAAGCGAGGATAGGGTGCGTCCGCTGGTTCGCTGTGCGTATATGCGCGTCCCCTCTCTACCTCTCTCTCCTGTTGCGGGTCGGCTGTACACGGCACTGGTTGAGAGAGAGAGAGAGAAAGAGCGACGAAGGGGCGGAGAGGAGAGGGGCCAAGGAGGAGGGCTGAGCCGTGAGGCGGCTCCCTTTCATCTCTGCCTTCTTAATTCCTGTTTTCACTTATAAGCAGTGCAGTGCTGGACAGCGAGTGCGTGCGTGTGTGTGTGTGTGTGTGCGTGTGTGCGTGTGTGGGGGAGGAGAGCTGGCGGTAAAAGGGGGAGAGAGAGGGGAGGGAGACTCTTGCGCTGAAACGGACTAGAAATTACCCGTCGTGCCGCCTGGCCGCGGGTCCGCCGTCATACAACACGTATACTTTTGAAAATCACTGTGGGGATTAATACGGGCTTTTGGCCTGACGCTCCCCGCCGCCCCGGCTAGCGGTACGGCACTCGGGTACACTATGTGTACCGTGTGAGACAGCCTTCGGTGTGTGTGAGTGTGTGTGTGTGCCGCGGGCATCGTAGACTCCAGACTCACGAGACACGTAAGCTAAATATAACCTCTGAATGGAGAAATGCGGATATAGTTTTGTTTTGTCGCGAGTATACGAATCGATTGTATCGCGATACGCCCGCGGCCGAGTGGCGGTGGGGGGGACGCCAGACGTGTAGGAGCGAAATTGCGGTACATGGTGGATATCGAGATAGCGGTGAGAGCGAGAGAAAGATGCAAGTGGTAGGGGTAGGGGTGCGAGGGAAGGGGGGCAGGGGAGGGGAGGGGTTGCATCTAAAGTGAGCGGCTGTTGCTTTGGCGGGCCGCAAAGGAATAAGGTGACGGGGAGACTCCTGCTTATTCTCGCCGCGCCAACGTCCAAAGCCACCTCGCCCCGAAAATGAGGAGGAAAAGTTGATTAATATTCCATCCCCGCATCTCATTACGCGCGCTGCCGGGAGGGAGGAGGGAGGGGGGGGGGGCTGACCGAGGCGCACGCAGCGTGAGAAGACACCGGGGCCTGACGCCCACGTGACGCTCGCGCGGCATCTCGCCCCGGTGCAGTTCGTATACCAAAACCACGGACGCGTCTTCTCGGTGGCATGCGGCAAGTACAGTATACCTCGCCGTCAAACAAATTAAAAAATAATTTTTAAAAACTGCCGTTTTTGGAGGGGTATACATTGTGTTATCACTTGACGTTCGGTCCCCGGCTGCTAATTGTTATTCGGCCCCGGCGAGCGACATTCCTGCCGCGACACACGTCCGGAGCCACCGGGATGAGCCCCCGCCGCGCGCGCACCCTGGTGCCCCCTGTAGAGGAGCTCCTCCCGGAGTTCCCCTGAACGCCAACGTTGTTGCCATTCGCGGGACGACATCACGCCGCTCATTTCTTGAAACAGAGGTTATTAAATACCTCCGCCCCGGAGAGGCCGGCCGGCCGCGACGTCAGCCCGTCCATAAAGTGGATCAGGCGCAGCGCACCTCACACCGACAAAAAATTACAACGTGTGTGTTTTTCTTTTAACGTTTGACGAGGCCAGCCTTATGGTAGTGAGTAGTGATCTTAGTGGCCGCGGCAGTGGATCGCACGTTCAGCCTCCCGGCCGCGCCCTGTACCCTGTACTGCCCCGCGGCCCGCTGACAACTTCCTAATTTATGAGCGGCGCGGCAAGACATATTTCCTTTCACGCCGCCTTGGCCGCCGCACCGCGGCGCTCTCAGCGGCCGGCGCGGTAGGCGTCAATAAATAAATAATTCCAACGACACAACAAATTTTCCAATTACAAATTTTGCAGTTTGGTGCATTCCCGCGACAGAATTCATAATTTCTGTCGACTATAGAGGCTTGCAAATACGCCTACCCCAAGGAAAAAGTTTCAGTGTGAGTCATCGTTGTGACCTCTTCATGATGAAGTTCACGGTTTTTTTTTCACGTATGAGGACACTGATAAGGTGGAAAATCGTCACGGTGACGTCATTGTGACCCGTACCCTCGTGAAGATTTCGTTACCCAAACCTTTTTGCTAGGGGTGTATTTCGGAGTGCTGGGCGTGCTGTTGCTACAGAGTCGTTGGACGTTGTTGGTGCTGAGCGTGGTGGAGAACGGGGCGTGGCTCGGCGGCTCGGCGCTGCGAACGGAACGGCCCGGAGTGACGCCTCGGAAACGCCTTCAGTTTGTTTTACCCCGGAGAGATGTAAGTGAGATACGGCACTCGTTTTATTTTTTAAAAGAAATTTTTTTTTGTTGGTGTACACCGAGCCACTCACTGACTGGGACAGCCGGGCCGGATTAGGAGAAACAATATACTCCGGTATTGTTCTGTCGGCCGTCCGGCGCTCCTGCGTCACCACCCCCTCACGTGGTCCTCTGCGCCCCGCCCCGCCCCTCACACCTGTGCGCACGCGTCGTGGTGTCGCGAGCGGCGCCGTATAATGCATACCTGCCGCAGCAGTAGCAAGGCCATCCCTTTACACTGCAAAGCTGTTATGAATTAAATGAGCAAAACTGTCTCCACTTCAACGGAAAACCCCCCCAAATATTCTTACGCTCTGCGCTATATAGAGTAAGGAGGGGTAGTGGACTTTGCCCTCTGGTAGAGACAGTCTTTTGGGGACGGTCTAAAAAAGCTGAAGCAGTAGTT